GAAGTCTCCATCCTCCTCAGTGTGAGGGTTACAAGTGCCGTCTCTCCTAGCTCCTCCAGCCCTTATTCATTCATAGACAAGTCTCACTATGTAGCTCTGGCTGGCCTCTAGGGACCAGACTGGACTTGAACTCAGAGAACTGAACTACCTGTGCCTCCAAAGTGTCGCGCTTCAAGGTGGGCGTCAGCACGCCTGGCAATCTGATGCTTTTTTCTTTTCTTTTCGAGACAAGATTTCTCTGAAACTCTTTTTGGAGATCAGGCTGGTCTCAAACTAACAGACATCTACCTGCCTCTGTCTCTCCAGTGCTGGGATTAAAGGTACGTGCCACCACACAGGGCTTTTTTTTCTTTTCTTTTTTTAAAATAGTGCTTTGCATGTGGGGGCACATGAATGAATGCGGACTCTCGACAGTGACAGTGAGTTCCTACCTTCTGTCATGTGGCTTTGAGGGTTGTCAGGTTTGGTGGCAAATGCCTTCACCTGCTGAGCCACCTGGGTTGGCGTCCGGTCCATTTTAAAAGTAATGTTTAGTGGTAATTGTGAGTTAGCAAGTGGCCAGCCAGCATCAGTGTCAACATCATGACAGAGCCATCGGTGCACAGAATTCTACTTTTCCATTTCTTTCTCCTTTTAGTTTTTCGAGGCAGGGTTTCTCTGTGCAACAGCTCTGGCTGTCCTGGAACTTGTAGACCAGGCTGGCCTTGGACTCAAGAGATCCACCTGCCTCCACCTCCCGAGTGCTGGGATTAAAAGCACGTCCCCTGGTTACTTTTCCATTCCTAACAATCGTCAACAACTCTAAGTACAACAGTCCCTTTGTTCCATCACAGAGAGGCTGCTGGTTGCAGAGGGGACCTGGGACTCCAAAGTGCTGAGGACCCCACACTGGCCTTGATGTTTCATACCTGTAGTCCTAGCACTTGGGAGGTGGAGGCAGGTGGATTAGGAGATCAAGGTGAGCTTTGGCTACCTAGTGAGTCTGAGGCCAGCCTTGGCTACATGAGCCAATGTCTCATATACCTCCTATACTATAAAAAGAAGGTGCATGGGATGATGGGGGGGCTCAAATGATACGGGTGTAGTGTCCATGTATATAAATAATCCCAGCATTTGGGACAGGGAGGCAATAGGAACAGGAATCTAAGGCAAGCCTCGGCTCTGCCACATAGCAACATAGCCAGCCTATGTTTCACGTTACCTTCCCTCAAAAACAAAGGGGAGGGGTGTTGGAGAGATGTCTCAGGGGTTAAGAGCACTGGCTGCTCTTCCAGAGGACCCAGGTTCTATTCCCAGGACCCACATGGCACAACTGTCTGTAAAGTCCAGTTTTTAGGTCTGTCCTTCTCATGTGTACGTGTAAGCATTGCAGTTCAGATGTAAAGGATCATGGTAGACGGGAGCCAAGAAGCACCACAATGTCACTGTGCGCGGAGCAGCTCACAGCCCTGCCCCAGGGAAAGGTCTCCCCAGAGTAGCCGCTCTATTCTGGCAGGGGATGGCTTCCCCAGCAAATGTTCAGCTCTTCTCTGGCACAAGATGGCCCTCTCCATTCAAGCGAGCGAAAGAAGGTCTCACCCCAAGTCAAGGGATTTAACAGGAGTGGGGAACCCAGGAGTGTGGCTGCCTAGAGCAGGATGGAAAAAGGCAGCAGCAAACTGAACAGACCCAGGGCTTATTTGGGCTTCTTAGAGGCGGGGCTTTTCCAGGGAGATTTACAGGGTAGGGATTGGTTGGGTTTCAATCCTTGATCTTTGACAAGCTCAGCGATTGGCTGGCTTTTATGCTCAGGCATTGGTTGCTTTCCTGCTCAGAACTGGTTAGTTTTTATACTTTGTTGGTCAGGGGCAGAATGTTTCTTTGGCTCTGGTTTCAGGGCCAAAGTGTGCTCTTTTTTCTTTTTCTTTTTTTGGCAGAGGGGAGTGGGGTGTTTTGAGACAGGGTTTCTCTGTATTGCTTAGGACCCTGTCCTGGAACTCACTCTTTGACCAGGCTGGCCTCAAACTCAGAGAGATCCGCTTGCCTCTGATTGTATGTATGTATGTATAAAATTGACTATTATGTGCATCAGTGTTTTGCCTGTGTGAGGGTGCCAGATGCCCTGGAACTGGAGTTACAGACAGTTGTGAGCTGCATGTGGGTGCTGGGAAATGAACCCAGGTCTGCTAGTCAAGAGCAGCCAGTGCTCCTAACCACAGCCCTCTTTCCAGCCCCCAGGGTGTGTTTCCTTGGCTGGCCCTTGAACCCTACAGTACTCACATGGTACATAAATATATATTCAAATATTCATACACATAAACTCTCCAAAAATAATGAAAAAAGAAAGCAAACAGAACCAGCACTCTGGAATCTCTGAAGCTAAGCCAGTTAAAATATATACAAAATAAAAAAAGACAGAAAAACCAAGATATGTCTCCCCACCCACCCAAATGCTCCTAAATGGAAATACGTTAAGTCCCACAAAACCCTTTAAGGGCAAAATGAGGGTCGGACGTGGGGACCCAACAGGAAAATGCTGCATATTTTCAGTATCGTGAAGGCACTTTGATAGAAGCCCACCTTCACTTCCTCTAGCCACCTAGGAATTTCCCTGAATAAAGTATCTGGGCCTGAAGGTCACCTAGCCTATAAGCAGGCCTAGGGTACAAGTTCAAGAGGAAGACAGCTGGTTGTCGCTACAAGACATGCTGGAGCACTTAACTGTGCACCACAGCCCTCATGATCTTATTTTACACCTAGCTCCTGGGTGTATGATGGAGGCTTGGGACCAGGAGGGCCACTGTGATAGGCCAGGCTGGCTAGTGGTACCCACAAGGCCTTGCCCAGTCCAGCTTTTACCATAAGGTAAAGCGAGCTGGTCCAGTAGTAGTATTTAGCACACAGATCCCTTCGCCAGGAATCTGATCCATGGGAGAACGGGGAAACACAGGAAATCTGTGACTCGACAAGACCACCCGCAGGCCAGTTATGGCATTCCTCCTATGCTACTCTGAAGCCAGCAGAGGGTCTAGGATTGCAGCCGCAGCTTAGAGTGCTTGCTTGTCAAGTGCAAGGCTCTGGGTTCCTGGCACCAAGAAAAAATGAAGCCCTCAAACAGGAAGCAAGGACACCAATGGGCGCCTTGTCAGTTTCTGCCCTCCCCTCTGATGAGCCAGCAGGGTGGGACAGGGGCAGCTCACTCTTGCCTACAGTCACACAAGGGGAGGCGGTGGCACCCGGGAACTCCCTAGCTGTGACACCCCAATGAAAGCTGTTTGCCCAATGTAATTTCTCTTTTGTTCAGCTATTAACCCTTGCTTTCTGTATCGCAGCCAGTACTCGTGGGCTCCAGCCTTGTCTTTGCCCTAGAAGCAGCAGTCAGTCAACGTGTCTCAGCTACTTCCTCAGAGATTGGGAGGAGCCTTGTAAGGCCGGCTCTTGGTCTAAACCAACTTCCAAACGATGAACTACGTCGCTTGTCCTAGGATCACAGGGGCTGGATGCGCCAGCCTGTGTTAACAAACTCCAAGGCTTTAATCCCAGCACCCGTGAGGCAGAGGTAGGTGGAACCCTGAAGTTTAGGTCAGCCAGGGCAACAGTGAGAGAGGCCCTGTCTATAAAATACAGATGTCATCAGGGGAAAATAAAGACACACAGTGAAGAATTCATTGTATGTTTATTCACAGTTAATCACTACCTACCAAATCGCTATCCGCAGAAGTTAAGGGAGTAAGTACATAGGTCTTTTTATTTAAACACTGATCTTTAAATATATACACACAAAACTTAGTTCAGCAAGGCTTCATGATATACACCAATTCCAAAATAAAACAATCAAATGGCCCAGGTGTAACTCAAGATTATTTTTTATCATCAGCAGGGAAAGAAGGGGCAGAGCCAGGAGGGGCGGGAACGGCTGCCTCCAGGGCTCAGCCCATCTCACAACAGAGTCCAGGGGAGACCCCACCCTGAAGAGCCCAGCTGCCCACGGACACCGCCAGCTCCAGGGGAGACGAGGAGCCTTGTTTCTGCTGTGGGAAGGAGGCTGGGTGGAGAGATCGGTGTACAGGCACATGACTACAGAGGACTGGAAGCTCACAGGAGACAGACAAAACTGCATGGCTTCATGGGATGGGGCAGCAGAACAGCTGTGAACGCACCTACCCACAAGCCTGCTATTTGCACTCTTGGGCAGCTGTAAAATACACAATTGAGAGCGAGGACCTAATTCTAAGAGCAAGAAAAATGAAAAGCCATATTCTCAACTCCCACCTGAGTGCAGGCCTGTGATCCAGGAGGGTGGCTTGGATGCCACCTGCCCGTCCTCCGTGTTTGACACTTACTGGCTCCAGGCCCAGAAAGGGCAGACCACAGCTGGGACCGGAGGCCAGGGAGCTGAGTCTTCCAAGACCTCCGGCCCCTCCAGATGTGGAATACCCACCCTCTCTGCTTCTACTGTCTCCTTTGTCTATCCTGTTTCCCCTGCCCCGAGAGGAAAATATTTATACAGGATAGGAAAAGCTCTGGACTGTCTTTAACTTATAAAAAAAAAAAAAAAAAAAAAGGTAAAAACACCACTCATAAACTCATAAAACACCCTTGAAATAAGAAAGAAGGCACTATAAAAAACAACATCATAGCAACACCGGGAGGGGAGGCGGTGGGAGGAGGCGCGGGTCTGCAGGGACCGGGGAACCAGGGCGGGCGGCCAGCCTCCTTCCCCTACCAAGTCCAACCTTGATGGAATGCTCCGGGCTTGGGGCAGGGGGCAGAAGCCCTCAGGCATCTCTGGCAGAGGCCAGTCCAAGGGCCCCAGGTGCCCGGGCCGCCCCTGGTGTGTGAAGAGTACAGCTCTTAGTCCATCCGTCTCCACAGACATTTTGCATAGAGAAAATACCAGCTCACTTGGTTTCGTTTCTTTTATTATTGGCATCAGCTGGGACTGAATGTGGCCTCAAACGTCATGCACTGAAGGACAGGAAAAGAAAGGACGAGAAAAAGGACACAGGAGGGACAGGAGCAGCGGTGAGACTCTGTAATAGAAACTGTAATTCAATCCAATAGGTTAGGTTTTGGCATTATGAAATCAAACACCCTTCCCACCCCCCCCAAAGTTTCACCCTAAGTGACAGGGTCTCCAGCACGACCCAGGCAGGGGCTCTGCACTCCTCAGGCTGACAGGCAGCATGTGGGTGCAACGCTTGTGAACGGTCTCAACTTCTTCACCTTCTTTAAATAATCTCTTCTGCTTCTTAGACGTTCCGGTTCACCGGGGTGACGTAATTACGGGGAAACATGCCGGTCTGCCCGTGGCAGGCCCCCTTCCACCAATTGGGATCTGAGTTATCCATGACATGGATGAAGTCTCCTCTGCGGAAGCCCAGCTCACCGTCTTCCTGGGGGTCAAAGTCAAACAGCGCCTGGACGTACGTGGGCTGCTGCAAGAGAAGCGTGGGGAAGGAACGGCATTCCCAATGCTGCCAGCTGCCTTGTAAGTGACCGCCCCCAAGGCGAGAAAACCCGTGCACACCCGTCCTCCCACTTCCCAAAGCGGCCTTCTACCCTCCCCCACTCCCACCCACCCCCAAATCCTAGGTGGGTTTACAGGAATCCTTTACTGATGTTCACAGTGACAGGGCACAAACACCCATGTCACTGAGGATGGCCAATGAGCCACATTACACTAAAGGGGGGGCACACACAACACAGGCTGTGTGCACAGAGTTCTGTTAACAGGTATAAAAATGTCTGCGCTCTAGTCCTCCCTCACAGGCTGCCCGGGGCAGGAAGAAGCTCTCTCTGTGGTGGCAAAACTACCTGGCTGCCAACTGCAGATCCTGAGTGTGGGTGAAGGTTGCCTGGTACACAGGGAGGTGGGGGAGGCCCTGCCAGGGCCTCTGTGCTCCAGGAGCCCCCCAATCGCTGGAAGGGGCCCGGAGCTCTGGCTTACCTGTGGCACCTGCTCTATATCCCGCAGGAATATCTGCTGGTTCCTGGACACGGATGTTGATCTGTGGTAATCTACCAGCTCATTCAAAGAATTAAACTTCACCACCCACAGGAAATACTTCCCGGCCCCGTCTCGGAGCACCTTGAAGTGCTGGACATCATTTCCAAACCTGAGGATGGGAGGGTGGACATGAAGCGGCCGCAGGGCTGTCCTCAAGGTGCCTGAGGAGCTATTGTCCCGTAAGGCTTTGGAGAGCGTGGAAACACAACAGCTGCAAAGCAACCTGAGTCTTCAGCTGCACAGAGCGGGACTGTCCGGGAGTCTCCCTAGACCTCTCCTCACTGCTGGTCAATGAGCAACCCTCACACAGGGCAAGTCCAGCCATTAGTCCCACTCTGCAGACACCTGCGCGTCTAACACAGCCCATTAATGAAGCTACAAGTTTATCTGCTTTAAAGGTTAAAAAAAAGCCAGGGCCGGGCGTTGGTGACGAACACCTTTAGTTCCAGCACTCGGGAGGCAGAGGCAGGCGGATCTCTGTGAGTTCCAAGTCAGCCTGGTCTACAGAGCAAGTTCCAGGACAGGTATCCTCCAAAGCAATACAGAGAAACCAAAGGTGGAAAAAAGGTTAAAAAGCCATGTGACATCCAAACAGTAGCTCAGGTTGGCTTGAGCCAGCTAAGCTGGTCTAAACCTCCTGGTGATCTCCCGACTCAGCCTCTCCAGGGCTGGGATTACAGGTGTGCCATCAAAGCCATGCTTTCCTCTGAGCAACGGCCATACTACTTTTCTTTTTCAGGGTAATGAGACCCAAACATGGACGACATGCTGTTCTGTACCCGTGAACAAGGCTAACAAGTGTGATCACTGATGCTGGCCGGCCCATAGGGTCTGCCCACTGACACCTGGGCAGGACGATGCTTCCTGTTCACTGCCAAGCCTTCACATCTTTCCCAGGATCTCTCCTTCAGTTTAAGGCTTACAGAAGGCAAAGGCGTTCTGAAGACAATCCAGCAGATGGCAGCACTGAGCTGACACTAGAGCCTCCAAATCAAGACAGTTTTCCCTATAGACACACGTCAATCACAGTTACTTAAACCCAGGAGTCATTTCTGAAGTGTTCAGTTGATCTCTGGTAACTGAGACGGAGAAAGCAAGACTAAAGCAGAGGGCATCTTCATGGTTACATTTTCACTGGAAGCCAACACGCTGCCAAAAGCCTCAGGAGGACGCAGATGCCATGGCCTTGTCCGGGCCCTTCTGGGCTGCACCTGGCTTCCTGAAGTGCAGGCCACTGACAGCCAGGGTCACTTCTTTTGCTTTTTGTTTTTCAAGACAGGGTTTCTCTGTAGCTTTGAGCCTGTCCTGGAGCTTGCTCTGTAGACTGGGCTGGCCCTGAACTCACAGAGATCAGCCTGCCTCTTCTACCATGGCTTTCTAACCAGACTCTGACATCTTGAAACCAGTGCACTATCTGGAGACTGGTGCCATGTGAAGCCCTTTGTTCTGTGAAGATACTTTCCACATGTGTGAGCGCATGTGTGGAAACCGAAGTTAACATCGGAGTCTCTCCCATCTTTTCTCTGAACCAGCAGCTCACTGATTAGTTCAGGCTAGCTGGCCACCTGGCTCCATGGATACCTATCTATATTTCCCTGACTTTTACACCCTGGACCATGACTCAGGTCCTTATTTTCATGTGGTAGATACTCTATCCCATGCCCCATACAGCTTATTTTTTATTCCTAAAGTGATAGCACGTTAACTTTTTTAAAAGTTTATTATTTCCATTATTTATTTATTTAGTTAGTTTTTCCAGACAGGGTTTCTCTGTGTTTTGGAGGCTGTCCTGGAACTAGCTCTTGTAGACCAGGCTGGTCTTGAACTCACAGAGATCCACCAGCCTCTGCCACCCCAGTGCTGGGGCGCCACCAACGCCTGGCTAAATTTTGTTTAATTTTAAAATTACATTTCTCTATATGTGCATGTGTGAGATGGGCGTGGGGCCATCTTGACAGCTCGAGGAATCAGCGCTCTCCTTCCAACTGGGACCCAAACGACGCAGGTCGATGGGTTAGACGACAAGCACCTTTACTCACTGAGCCAGGTCTCCAGCTAGGGTCTCATGTAGTCTAGGCTGACTTTGATTATGTAGCTACAGATGACCTCTAGAACTTACAATCCTGGTGTCTCCACCTCCTAAATACTGGGATTACACCCAGTTGTAGGCAGTGTTTATGCTAGGAACAGAACCCAAGATCTCACACATGCTGGGCAAGCATTGTAGCTACTGTCCTACAGGATTTCCTTTGATGGGAAGGAGTAGCCTGGCTTCCAGGCATCTTCAGCAGGAACATGTACAGAGCTGGGTCTGGTCACCTCCCATTCACTAGTTACTTCTTTCCTTTCCTAAGCTGTTTTACTGCTACCTGGAGCAATGGAAACCAAGGAAAGCACATGACACAGAAGCCACTAAAGCATAAAAAGGCAATTCTACAAACCCAGCCCAAGATGCTGCAAGATCTGTATGTGCATGTGTCCAATCGAGAACTTCACACTGGGCAGTGGTGGCACACGCCTTTAATCCCAGCACTCAGGAGGCAGAAGCAGGAGGAGCTCTGTGAGTCTGAGGCCACCTGGTCTACAGAGTGAGTTCCAGAGCAGCCAGGGCTACACAGAGAGACCCTGTCTCGAAAAACCAAACCAAACCAAACCAAACCAAACCAAACAAAAACCTTCAAAAGTCCTGGTTACAAGAGGAAACTATTCTTACACTCAAGTTTGGGGGAAAAGTACTGCAAGGCAGCTGTGGCAGTGCATGCCTTTAATTCCAGCACTCAGGAGGCAGAGGCAGGAGGATCTCAGTGAGTCCAAGGCTAGCATGGTCTACAGAGCGAGTTCCAGGACAACCAGGGCTACACAGAGACCCTGTCTCAAAAAACCGAAATAAAAATACTGCAGAAACGATCTGAGGCATCAGACCTCATCTGGTGGCTCTCATAGTGGCTCTCAGTCCCATTTAAACACGAGCACAGCTTTGTCCTGGTGCCAGGACTGAAGGCCTGTCATTCCTACTACACAGAAGTGAAGGTAGGAAGACTCAGTTCAAGGCCAGTCTGGCAATTCTTTCATTCTACTCATTCACCATGATGGTAGCAAGAGAACCCAGTCCCTGCACGTGCTACCCCCGAGCTCCCAGTGTGGGCAAAGGACTGAGACCCTGGTCAGTGTGGGGTGGCTTGGTGAGCAGACTTCACACAGACCTGACAGTGTGGCTCTCAACCTCAGATCCCTCAGGGCAGCAGAGTCTGCCCTCTCACTGCCTGGGGTGGGGTTAGAGGCACTGGGTTCCCCAAGCCCTTTGTGGATGAAGAATGAAGGAAAGGGGGTGTAGCTGTCCATGCCTGTCATCCCAGCACTCAGGAGCTCAGCGGAGACAGGCAGGGGCCGTCAACAAATGAGGACAGCCTCTGCTACGTATCAAGTTGCAGGGTAGCCTGAGGTACATAGGAAGAGTCTGTGTTGAAAAAGAAATGATTGAAAGGACTTTTGAGGTGAGCTTCTGCAGTAACACATTAGCTAGAAAAGGATGACCAGTCAAAAATTATGGAAAGTCATTCTTTTTTCGACAGGATCTCACTCTATAATTCTGGCTGGCCTGGAACTCAACAAGATCTACCTGTCTTTGCCTCCCAAGTGCGAGATAAAGGCAGGTGACACCATGCATGTCTAACTCCCATCTGGAGTTTTGAGACAGCACCCCTCCCGGCTTATGGAAGCCTTTTCAAGTAACATGAAAAGCCTTAGATAGCATCTGGCCCAGGTAAGCACAGGAGCTGAGATGGCGCGCGCTATTCTGATAGAGTGCTAGCTAGCAACAGCACTGAATGCGAGCAGGGAGCAGGGCGCAGGGCCGGTGGGGATTAGGAAACTGGCTGTGTGTGCTGTCAGTTCCCACAGGTTCAAGAAAAACGCTAGGATTTCCAGGGAAAGATGTGTCAATGGCGGCAGCTTGCTGTGGACAACTCCAACAGGAAATACTTACTTGACAGACAGGGAGAAGTCCCCAGGGGCACTCTCGCTCTCTCGGATTAGGAAGGCCCCATCGTGCCTCTGTTTGCTAAGCATTTCTTCTGCCTTGGCTCTGGGGATTTTGCCAAAAAACCACCTAAGGAAGGAAGGCAATCCAGTCAACACCTGCTTCCCCGCAAAGAAACTGGGCTGTCCAGTCTCACACGTAAATACGAGAGCTCTCCTTGCTGGTGGAGGGTTCTCTTCACCCGACGGTCCCCTGCACAAGGCTCACCAGGCCTGCTCTGGCTCAGTGCCTTCCAGAGAGATGAGCCGAGCTCCCAAGCAGTTCCATTGTCGAGATCAGACAACGAGCAGACCACCTCAAATGTGCCCCCTGAAGAAGGGTTTCTGAGGCCAAAGCCCCCTCCCCCCCCAAATTCATCAGAATGGCACTCAGGAAAGCCCTGCCGCACGGGGTGAAAGATGGGCAGACAGAGTGCAGGAGAGGACTGGAAGGACTAGAAGCTGGAGGCAGGGCTGTCCCTGCTAAAGCACGAAGGAAGGCTCAGTTGGTGAAAAGGAGACTGTGGGTGAGATGTCCTCTCCAGCCTCTCAGCACAGGCTCAGGGTGCAGCCTTCCCAGCCGCTGGGAAAGCCCTGAACGGGAATAGACTGTGGGTGGTGCCAGGACGCTCGCCTTGAGTTCGAGACTCAGCACGATGTAAAAGCCCAAGGAAAGGAAAACCAAGCCACAGTATCAGGGACATAGAAGTTACTACACACAGAAAAGCTGGGCAGAGGCGGCGCGTTAGAAGTGTGACATACCGCTGCCACCACCTGGCTCCTAACTGGAACTTTTACAAAATAAATGTATCAACAATAAAAAGTCTGAGTGTGTGGACGCACGGATGTCACCCTAGCAGCATAGCTTCAAGGCTGGTCTCATACTAAAACCTCGTCTCAAAAACTAAAACAGAAGGAAACATTAGTTCGAGAACCATTTTACGAACCAAAACTTTTGTCTGTCTGCACCTGGTTCCGGTACACTGGGCTTCAAGACCCCACACAGCAGGAGTCAGAGACTACTTTCACAGGCTTTTACAAACCAATAAGCTTCTCTAAAAGTGTCTTGTTTGCAGGGCTGGAGGCAGAAGCCAGGGCCTTGTGCACGTGGGGCTAGTCTCCTCTACCACTGAGCTAGACAGAGCCTGATGGGTTTCTTTTAATGGTGGTATTTATGTATAACTGCATGCCTACACACAAATGTTCTGCTAATCTTTAAAAAGACTGGTCTGTACTAACCTAGAAATAGCAAGAAGCCAAGGGGGAGGAGAGATGTATTTTCCAGTGTATTATTTATAGCAAGCCATAGGCCTCCGCCCACATGTACTTACTATGAAGAGTGTGTGTGGATCTGCTGGGCACACACAACTCACACTGCTGGCCTTCATGTGGACCCAAATGCATCATTGGGGGCCGGCTCTCTATTGTGTAACTGTCCCTTTCCTCTCCACACAAAGTGGGGGAGGACGAGCCTCTGGTACAGCGCACTGTGGTGCCATACTAAGTGACAGGTACATTGGCCACTTGGCAGCCTGTAAAGTCCCACACTTGGAGAGAGGCTTGAGTGTTTGGATCCTTCTGCAGAGCGCAGTGCGGAGGGGCACCGACTTTCCACCCGCCAGCTGCAAGTAGCCCGGCAGACCATGCTGATGCTCCCTCTTAGGACTAAGGGTTTGATCCTAGGGCCCCACTCTTGCAGGTTAAGTGTTCTACCACTGAACCAATAACCTCTGACCCTTTTATTTTGCTAAATTGCCCAGGGTGGCCCTGAACTTCCACTACTTCTGCCCCAACCTCAAGGGATTATCGGTAGGAGTATCTACTACTCCAAATTCTCATGGGAGGGGGAAGGGCAAGTCATGAGAGTGGCTCTCCTCATCAGAGCAGTACGGACAGACCTTCCTAAGGAGGGGGCTCTACCCGTAACAACCTGACTCAAAATGCCCACGTTATCAGAACCATCTGGAGGGCATAGACCACAGCAACTGCACCAGGGGATGCTGTGCTGATCCAGCACAGCTGTCAGGAAACCACGGCTCTCAGGCTATCTTGCTATGTAAGCCCAGGCTGGCCCTTTTCTTTAATTTTTTAAATCTGTTGGTGTGTGAGCGCGCATGTGTGGAGGTCAGAGGGCAGCTTCTGAGAGTCAGGCCTCTCCTTCTACTCTGAGACTGAACCTGCCCTGTCATCCAGTTCCTCAGCCCTGGGCGGTCCTGCATTTGTGATCTTCCTACTTTAGAGTCTGGAATGCTGGGAAATACACTCACTGACCACCACACCTGTCTCTTTACTCCAGTGCTGGGAACTGTTGCCTCATGAGGTCTAGGCAAGCATTCTACCATGAAACCACATACCTTTACAGTTTTTATTTTTAAAAATTAATATTTTTATGGTACCAGTGGTGGAATTCAGGGTCTTGTGCATAGTCAGTCCAGTGATAAAATGCTTGCCTACTATTCAATTCCCACGATGGTGTGTGTGTGTGTGAAAAAGAAGGGGTGTGCGTGTGTGTGTGTAGATGGCTAAGTGTTTAAGAACACTTAATGCTCCTTTAGAGGGCCTTCAGTTCCCAGCATCCACACTAGTGGCTCACAACCACCTATAACTTCAGTTCCAGAGGATTGATGCCTCTTTTTGATGTCTGTTGGGGTCACATACATATACTCAAACACAGACATACACATAGAAACACACAATTTACTTTTTTAAAAGAAGGCAGGACAGGTATGCTGGCACACACCTTCAATACAAACATTTAGGGGGAGGCGGCAGCCAGATCCCTCTGAATGAGGCCAGGCTGGCCTACAGAGAGAGTTCCAGGACAGCCAGGGCTAGACAGACAAATCCTGTAGTGATTTATTGTTTATGATTTATTAAAGCCACTGGAGATCAAAATAGCAAAGCAGCCACACTGGTTAGCTTTAGATCTGAGGATTTCTGGAGACAGGGTTGCCATTTCAGCTTGGTAGAGGTAAGATCTGCTGGCTCGGCTGCTTTGTTTCTCTGGTCTTCAGCTTGAAGCTTGAACCCCAATGTGTCTCTGGGTTTACAAAGCAGGCTTACTAACACCATGGGAATCACATGTAAGAAGTTCATGTTGAAGTTTCAGAACTTCAGGTTTACCCCACTCAAGCCCCAATCTTAGGTTACAGGATCTCAGGCAAGAGGCATCTTAACCATGCACAGAGGGCCAGGGTTCTAATATGCATATGCCATTTACCTGAAAGTTTATTAGCATTTAGATTTCTTCACTAAGACTTTAAGCCTGAATACCAGGAAAAAAAAATTCTTTTAATGAACCACTTTATACAAAAAAGCAAGGTATGCAGGGCAGTGGTGGCACACGCCTTTAATCTCAGCGCTCGGGAGGCAGAGGCAGATGGATCTCTGAGTTTGAGGCCAGCCTGGCCTATAGGGTGAGTTCCAGGACAGGCTCCAAAGCTACAGAGAAACCCTGTCTTGAAAAACAAAGACAAACAAAAAACTCCAAAACAAACAAACAACAACAAAAAGCAAGGTATAAGTTTCAGTGGAATATAAAAAAGGAGAAACTCAACCTAATTTTCCAAGGAACCTAGAATCTTTTGGGTAGAAACCAAATTTACCTACTTGTCTGAGAAACAAAAGCAAGAGAAATACACAAATGAGACTTCTTCATCTTGTACATCACCCCTTGGAGTATGTAAGCGTTATGAGGCGCCTGGCAGTCCTTGAAGTAAAAGAAGTTCCTTTGAGGCGGCTCTCTCTCTTTCCTGCCTGGCAGCATCAATTTCCTCCACGATCACCTACAGCCAATCAAACTCCGTATCTTTAGGCTAATACTGCCCGGACACTATCTCTAAGACTTCCCCAGGACAGCGAGGGGATTTATTGTATCAAGGGGCAGGCTAACTGCAAACTGCAGATCACACATTCTCATTACCGACAACACTCCGTAAGAACTCACTGACCAAGGCATGAGCTAAGCTGACAGCTTTGAGGAGAAGAAAAAGAAAGAAAAAAATCACCTTTTGAGATGAGCCTCAGCATTTGGCCCAGTTACTATCAGTCACCTGCAAGGGCCACGTGCATGGGGACAAGCCGGCACATGGCTCCATGCTTCCCTTCCCTTTCTTTCTTTCCACCGTGAAGCCTTTAAGTGAGTGCTACATTAGTAAATTACTAGCACTGCAGAACAAAAAAGAACGGGTCAGATGGCCCTGCTGGTCAGTGAGACTAGTAGGACAGAGGCTTCGAAGAAAACTAGAAATGCTTGTTGTAGGGGCGGCAGGAGGGGGGCTCAGCCCTCAGTGCTCCTATGGCCTGGGAGAGAACCATCTCCTTCTCTCTGAAATGGGGACTCTGGGTGGAAAAGCAAACATTAGGAAGAGCCTAACAGTGAGACAATGAAGACACCATTCTATGGGTCATCAAATGCACCAGCAATAAACCGCATGCTAAGAACTCTTCAAAACTCAAAACACATCAAATCATGAGATGCACTGGTTCCCAAAGGACTCAATGAGAAATTAGGAACTTGTATTTAAAAAAAAAAAAATAAAGTGAACTCTCAGAGATCCCAGACACTAACCTAACCTGTTACTACATGCTAGTGTTAGTAAGAAAACTCACTAAGCATTGCCTCAGACCACCCTGCAGAGCTCAGCTATCTTTTCTTTTTAGTTGGTTCTCTAAGTTAGGGTCTTGGTGAGTACAGGCTGGCTCTGAAATCCCAGGTAGCTGAGGCTGGTCCTGAGATCTCTATGTAGCTGAGGCTGGCCTCGGGCTTACAAGTCTCTTGCTTCAGCCTTCCGAGTGCTGGGATCGCAGGTATGCACCATGACACCTTACTGTGCTTCCATTTTAAAATTAACAACAATATTTGGTAGCCTGGCATGGTGGTTACATGTAGGTAACCCCAGAACTTTGGAAAGCTGAGGCAGGATGACCATCTCACCAAACTAAATCAACCTGGCACAATGGCACACACCTTAAAATTTAGAACTAGGAAGGCAGAGGCAGGTGGGTCTCTGTGAGGTCCGCCTTGTTATAGAGTAGCCAAGGCTATACTGAGACCCTGCCCCACCCCCAACAATCAACTCGAAACCTGCACTCGGGACAAGCAGGAGCCCAACTTACGGGTGTGCTTTCATTTCTATGTAGTTCTTGGGGATGAAGCCATCCTTCCCATTGAGCTCTGCCTTATACCAGTTCTGGTCACACTCTTCATTCAAAACCTGAAAAATAAAGGACATTTCCCCGATTACATGTGGGACCACAGACAGTCTTATCCTCTAGGGTTGTGGAAGGCTTACTCAGGTATCGGAATTCTCTTAACGTCAACAGCCAGCATTTTATGTTAAACTATGAAAGTTACAGAAAAAGCAACTCTCTGGGCAATGAAAAATTCAGGCTTCTATTTCAACCCTTAGAATTAAGCCTTCAGTGGGAAGGCAGAAGGAACGGTGGTGGAGTGAACCGACAGTTTTCTTAAGGAGATTCTCTAGGAGACAGAGACTGGCAGCAGAGAGCACAGGGACCCTGCAGGCTGCAGTCAGGGAGAGGGACGCAAGCTTAAAGAGAAATTCTAGTGTTCTCTGCAAGCCAACTGTTATGCGGGTTCCCCGACCAAGCAGCCAATCAGGGTAACTAGGGGCCGGTGCATAATAAACTATTCTAAAGACTAGGCACCCAAATCCTACACTGCTGTGCTCAGGTCGGACACTCCTGGAAGTAGACCAACCAACACAATTCGGGGCCCAGACTCAGAGCAAATTCAACAAAAGGCAGAGGGCATAAAGCTAGTAAAATATTTATACATAATGAAGTCTCCTGTAGCCTAGGTTAGGCTGTAACACAGTGGGTAGCTGGGATGACCTTGAACTTCTGATCCTGCTGCTATGATCACAAGCTGTTTTTATTGGTTTTTAAGATTGGGTCTCACTTTGTAGACCACGCTGGTCAGAACTCAATATGTAACAAGCCCAGATGGGTCAGAACTCTCAACCCTCCACCTCCCAATCCTAGATTACAGGTGCCCACCATGCCTGGTTTAAGGTTGATATTAACAAAGAAAATGCAGGTGGGCGGTGGGGGCCCACACCTTGGATCCCATTGCTCAGGAGGCAGAGGCAGGCATATCTCTGAGTTCAAGGCCAGCCTGGTCTACAGAGAGAGTTCCAAGACCGCTAAGGTTACACACAGAAACCCTGTCTCAAAAAACTAAAAAAAAAAAAAAAAAAAAAACCCCGCAGAAGACGTGTGGTGGCCTCTACCTCTAATCCCAGCAGTGAGAGCTGAAGCAGGAGGTTCATTCACTACACGGGTACACAGTGAGACCTTGTCTCCAAAAGAAAGGGCAGAGGAAGAGGAAATACACAAGTGAACTCAACGTTAGTGGGGACAAAGGAGGTGCTGACTGGAACAGTGGTTAGTCTACGCTACAGCTAAGCCCTGAAAGGAAGCTGAATATCGGTCAAGTTAGCAATCAGAAAGCTCTAACACGGCTGACACTTTAAAGTGGCATAAAACCACAGGACAGCAACCTACCAGGGGCAGAGAGCATGCATGCTCATCTCAACAAAGGCGTCCAGCCCAGGAGCTTCACCATGGGGCTCCTATGTGCCATGCTGGCAGGCCTCAAGCCACAGGTGACAGTCACTGGCTGTAGGTGTGTGTCAAATGTGGTGGCACATGCCTTTGATCCCAGCACTCAGGAGGTAGAGGCAGAGTTTATACAGAGTTCCAGCCAGTCAGGGCTACATAATGAGACCTTGTGCCCCCCCCCAAAAAAAACCCAGGCCCAATTCTACAAAAGCTAATAAAGTAACAGTAAGCACTCAACAAGGCAGCCTCAAATCCCAAGCAGCTCATATGTCACAGTGCATGAAGGACAGATTTCTATTTGTTTTGTTTTTATCAGCTACGGGTTTATAGCCTAGGCTGGCCTTGAACGGCGAACCTCAGGCTGATCTAAGACTAAGGGCAATCCTTGCTTCAGCCTCCTGTATACTGGAATTAGAGGCATAAGCTATCACACCAAATTTAAAATGTTTTAATTTTTTTCTCCTTAAACATCTATGGGCTGGCAAGATGGCTCAATGGTCAAGAGGGATTGCCATGCACGCCTGATGAGAGAGAACTGCCTACTGTTAGTGCCAGCACTCGGGAGGCAGAGGCAGGAGGATCTCCGTGAGTTTGAGGCCAGCCTGGTCTAAAGGAGAGTTCCAGGACACCCACATTTGCAGAGAAACCCTGTCTCAAAAAACAAAAACAAAACAAAAAGGAATAGGTGCTGGGCAGGGGGCACACAGGGCGCTTCGCTTGCAGAGGACGCAGGTTTGATTCCCAGCACCCATGCTGGGCAGCTCACATACAGGCACACGCACTTCACTAAAGATCATGATGATACACTGTGTAGGACACACACCCTTTAAAAGCCTTTTTAACAAAGGCTGGCCTGTGCAGGGGCCAGCAGAGGCACTCTGTTGCTCCCACAGGTACACAGGGGGACTGGGGTAAGAGACTCCTCATCCCCACCTTTGACACAGAGCTCTCAACAGCCCACTAGGAGGGGGCCTGCTTTCTTTTCTTTTTTAAAGTTGCTTAAGGCCAGTACTGTTATCAACCAAAAATAAGGGCTTCCAGAAAAACATGGCCTCACAGTGTCTTGTGAAAGCGACTCTCTAGTAACGACAGAGCAGTCAACAGGCTTGGGCAAGAGCTGCTGGGGTGCACCCCAGATGAGCCAGGCTGACAAGGCAGTGGCTCTGACCTATTTGTGCAACAGAAAAAGAGTCTCACTTAGCAAAGGCCAGTTTGACTGCACCCCCAGCCTTGTAGAAAACAGACACCTGGACATGCCAGCGCCCTGGAAGCTGCAAGTTCTCATGCCACTTTTACCAAGGCAGAGGCCGCCCCTAAGAATCTTCAATGCAGGAGATGGCAAGGGAACTCCAGGCGCGGAGACAATTTACAGCTATGGCTTTTTATAGCGCCAACCATCACCTGGTGCTACTGCACCTTTGTCTCTCAGGCGGCAGGGAACCTCGATGCTCAGCAATGAATGGCTACGATTTCAGTTATCTGGGAATGCCATGGTGATGCCAGTACTCTGGGACTTAACAGGTTGGCTATGCTGGGGCGAGCACGGGAACGCACTTCCTGCTCTGCACATGTAAGTTTTCACAGGGAAGCCCAGCACTGGGATAATTACACTATTGGGGATGGAAAGAAGACTCAGTGGTTATGAGCACTGGCTGCTCTTCCAGAGGACCTGTGAGTTCCCAGCACCCACAGGGTGGCTTAAAATCACCTGTAACTCCAGATCCAGGGGATCCAGTGGCCTCTTCTAGAGTCTGTCGCCAGGTATGAATGTCATGCACAGACACCATGCAGGCAACTCAACATGAGAGTGAGAGAAAGCTCATGTAAAGAAAACGTGTGTCTATATGCATGTGTGTGCACTTAAGTTCGGAGCATGTGCAGCCAGAAGGCATTGGAGCCTCTGCAGCTGCAATTACAGGCAATTGTGAGCTGCCCAATGTGGGTGCTGGGAACCATACTTTTAGCGGCTGAGTCATCTCTCTAGCCTACCAAATTAACTTCTGTTTGCTTTTTGAGACAGGATCTCTACATAGCCCTGGTTGCCCGAACTCTTGTAGATGAGGTTGGCCATGAAAGGGGGGGTGGGGGGGAAGAAGTGTCACTACGCCCAGCTACAATTTATTAGCTTTTTTGTTCTGTTTGTTTGTTTTGTTTTTTTTTTTTTCAAGACAGGGCTTCTCTGTGTAGCCTTGGCTGTTCTGGAACCAGCTCTGTAGATCAGGCTGGCCTTGAACTCACAGAGATCCTCCTGCTTCTGCCTCTAGAGTGTGGAGATTAAAGCCATGTGCCACCACTGCTTGACCCCCCCCCCCCCAAATTAACTTTTATCCAAAAGTTTGAACAAGCAAACTAGCAAAGGCTTCAAAAGTGAACTTGAGTTTAGAGTCCAGTGGAGGGTCGCCCAAGCACCCAGAGTCTGTTTCCAGCTGACTGTTCACATCCCTCACAGATAAGGTCCAGGGCTTGTTCTGAGAGCTAAGAATGAGGGCTGCCACAAACGGTCTCTACCGCCCACTTCCTGTAGAAGGCACTTAGAGACTGCTCATCCACCTATCACCTCCTCTGACAGGTGACCTAAGCAACCCACAGCCAGCTCCACCTCTGCTGTTCCAAGGAATCTCTCCAGTCAGTACTCCACAGCTGCATTTTTGTCTGGCTTTTCCACATTGCTTTGAACTGTGACTCAGTAGCTATACAACCCCCACCCATCCACACACACAAGTACTGTGGTTCAACGGAAGCAGACTGATGAAGAGATGAGGCTGTAAAAGGAAGAAAACCCAGTTTCAGTGAAGGGTTTCCCTCCCCCTTACCGAGACTGTTACCCCAGTCAGGAAGATACTTCAGAGCAAGAGCACACCGTGGGGCGCTAAGCTGGGTTCCTGTGTGTGTCCCCTGCTGCTGTTTATTTAGGTGTTGTTTGTGGAGATTCGGTTATGACACATTAATTCAGTTATGGCACCTCAATCAAAAGTCAGGACTGGCTGGGCAGTGGTGGCTAATACCTTTAATCCCAATACCTGGGAGTCCAGGAAGAAGGCTCTGGGGTTCCAGGCCAGCCTGGTCTACACAGTGAGTTACAAAAGAGCCAGGGCTACACAGAGAAACTGTCTCAAAAAACAACACAAAGAAGCAAAAAAGCTAGAACTGGGCCAGCAAGATAGCTCAGTGGGTAAAGACACTTGTAGCCAAGCCTCATGACCTGAGTTTTATCCTCAGGGCCCAATGGTGGAAGAGAGAACTCTCATGCCTCGGACTTGACTGCTACACATACACTGTGTGACTCAGATGCCCCAATAAATAAATACATAAACTAAAAATTTGCTAAAATCTAATCAACCTATGAAACAATCTCTGTAAGAGAATTTGTGTATCAAGTAACAAGTTTCTTGGGAGTGGAGTTCAAGACAGGGTTTCTCTGTATAACAAACAGCCCTAACTGTTCAAGAACTCGATCTGTAGACCAGGCTGGCCTCAAACTCACAGATATCCTCCTGCCTCTGACTATAATCCCAACGCACTGCGGGTGGAGGCAAGAAGGATCTCTGCAACTTTGTGGGCAGTGTGATCTACAGAGTGAGTTCCAAGACAGCTAGGATTACACAGAGAAACCCTGCCTCAAAAAACCAAA